AACAAGTTCTCACTGCCATATCGTCACAATTTTAGTAAATCTGCACTTTTACATCAAACTATTGTCTCTCAAGTTTTATACTTCTATCAAACTACTTCGCTCCAAATACATAACAGCTCTGTCTACATATTTTCTGACTGGTTATTACAGCCCAAATCGGATAACTACCACACGCTTCCCAACAAGAATACAACACAAACAAATAAGGGATCTCAACCTACAAGAATCCTCCACCGGGTGGCACATCGCCTTTTTCCCACATCGAGTGCATAGCTTTCCAAACGTCAACGTAACAGCAGAACCATCCGACACATTGAGCGCATAGCTTCTTCCCAAAATTGAGCGCATAGCTTTCCAAACGTCAACGTAACAGCAGAACCATCCGACACATTGAGCGCATAGCTTCTTCCCAACATCAAGCGCATAGCTTTCCAAACGTCAACGTAACAGCAGAACCATCCGACACATCAAGCGCATAGCTTCTTCCCAACATCGAGCGCATAGCTTTCCAAACGTCAACGTAACAGCAGAACCATCCGACATATCGAGCGCATAGCTTCTTCCCAACATCGAGCGCATAGCTTTCCCACATTAACGACACAGCAGAAACAAAGGGAGCAATTGCACCCGAACCAACATTTCCTCGCCGTCACCGAGCGACGACACAACAGGGCACACCGAACCACTTGATCTACTTCACGTCTTCAACAGTGCCATCAACAAAACAGCAGAAACAGAGGGAGCGATCGCACCCAAACCAACCGAACCAGAACAGTCTCCTTTTCTTACTTTACGGCCCCAATCGTTCCTTACGATCCAACCAACCATGGCTCAAGGAGCAAATCCACCAACTCCACCAGCTGGACCCACACCACCATCTGGGGCGACAGCACCAACAAGTGGCGTGCTCTTCAGCCCAACAACTCCAACTCTTGGGAATAAGGTCTGCACCAGCTCCAGCACCGAAACCGCTTGGACTGGAGGGAAACCCAATCCGACCCGTACTGGCCTTGATCCTTCAGCTTCCACTACCATGGAACATCCGGGACAATTGCGTCCCACAGGCTATGAAGCAATGAAAAGCGCCACCTATCGCAGAATGTCGGACCTCGTTTCGATCACCAAGAAGACGAAGATGACTAGATTCAAGAAAGAACTTTGGCAAACTGCAGTCTCCCAAGGACTGGACTCCGTTATGTACCTTCCTTGCAGCGGCGACCAGATCTCCGTTGTGACAAGCTCCGATATGTTCACGAAAGAGGAAGCTGAGCTTGAATACACCAAGATTCTCCCGACGTATGACAGCTACTGCAGATCCAATGACAGGGACGCTGCACACTTACTCATGAACGCCATTGATCCAGATCTTCGAAAGGAAGTTGAACTATTCCACAACACCACTGATGGGTTTATTGTTGTATGGTACGTTTTCCTTTGTCTCCTCTATGACAACAACATCGACCGCAAACGCAACATTGAATCCGAGCTTCGGAAGGTTGCCGTCACAAGCTATCCACAACAGAATGTCAACGCCATTGTTGCCACCTTCCTCAACATGGCAGAAGAACTTGACGATATGGATGACTACAATCACAACAACACCAACACCAACACCAATAACAACAACAACAACAACAACAATCGCAATGGTGACCGCACCGGCAACGCACCTCCCAATCCCAAGCGGGTCCAACCCTCAATTGCCAACGGCGACGTTCCTATTGCAACCGTGGACGGGGTTCCACACTTCAGGAAGAGCATCAACGGCAAGGACATGGATTGGTGCCAGACTTGCAAACGTTTCACCAACACCCACGCTACTCATCAGCACGGCTCCGGTACCAATAACAATAACAATAACAATAACAACAACAACAACAACAACACCAGCAGCACGGCCACCGCCGCCAACCTTGCCTCTACCGATCTTCCACCGGATATTGATTTTGGCACCTTCAACATCGCCGACTACAACTTCTACGTATCCTCTGGTATCACCTCCCAGGATGTGCTTGACGTGATCGCTCCTCCTGCTCTTGTCAAAACTGTCTCTGACAATGTTCACGACGACACCATCCCTATCATCGACCGCGATGCTGTCACCGCTCATCACTGGTGTGTTCCTGTTGCCTCCTTTCCCCACTCTCACTCCACTACCACATCTGCACTCGACTCTCCTACTGTTGAGACCGTCACTGACGACAATGACGATGCAACCATCATCCCTACCATCGACCGCGACGACGTCACCATTCAACACTGGTGTGTCCCAGTTGATTCCTTCACCAACTCTGACTCCGCTGCCATGCATGGGCCTGCCGTCGACTACGACTCTGACAATGATGACGTGCCTCCTTCCCTCGTGGACCGCACTTCGGATCACGAGTCTGACGACGACTCTGTTCTTGATGATTCCTCTTCCGTCCTTCCCCAGGAAACTACGATTCCCACCTATCGCCTTCATCCGCCTGCATCTCGCCCAGCATCGCTTTGGCGTCCACTTGCCCTACTCCTGCCACCTCTCTTCCTTGGGCTTCGATTCCTCCTTCCGTTTCTTGCTACCCACACCAACCGTGGTTTGTCGCAAGCCTCCATGATGGTCCAAGACTTCCCCATTCTGTCCTTTCTGGCTACCCAGGCCAACCGAGGTTTTCTTCACCTGTGGTCTATTGTCTCCCACCATCCCACTACCATTGCATTTCGCGCCTTTGGCTCTGCCTTCCCTTCCATCTTTGCTGAGCACCGATGTTCCTGGTCCGCTCTACCCTTTTGGCTCTGGCTGGTCCTTGCATTTTTCATCCTCATCGGACCCCAACGCCTCTGTACCCCTGCACCTCCCCTTCCCCGCCACGTTCGACGCCATCTTGCCCGCCTGCACCATCGGCAGCGCCGTCCCAAACCCACTATGCAGTTCCCTTCCTTCCGTCATCCACGCTACCAACCTTCGCGCGCCCATCTTCTTTCCCGATGCCAATGGCAGCGGGTATCCACCGGCCTCAGCGGCTCCAAGGCTTCAGCGATTCCCACCAACCTCAGCCACCTTTATGTCAACTTCCACCGTTGTAAAGCACGCCACCGATGTCAATACAAATCGCAACGTCGTCGCCGTTGGATGTCGCCCTACACTCGGAGACTCCAATCCCTTCAGCTACACCAGCTTGCCTCTTCAATGCGGCTCACACAGCTCCGCACCGGTTTCAAGGCTCAGGCTCAGCATCAACACCATTGCAAACAGCGAGGACTCCTCGTTATCGATCAAATTCACCAGTGGAACTGGCAAACTCAACACAGTCAGCATATGTCGGAACAGCTGTTACAAGGCGACCTCTCTCCCATTCTCCCGGATCTGATCTCGTCCCCTTCCCCGGTTGCCTCTTTCCCCAGCTGGGATGATGACTCCGTCTCCACCAGCTGCTTCAGTGAGATCGATGCGCACGATTCTGACCCACCTGATCCCACACCTTCCGTCCTCATCAATCAACATGGAACCGTGTCCATCTACAACGCCACCACGACTATTGCTACCTCCATCGCCGAGTTCGCTCAGGATCACCTATTCCTCTCCGAGACATCTGCCGACATGGAACCAGCGTTTCCGGTCATCTGGGATTCTGGAGCCTCGGTGTGTGTCACACCCCACAAGCGTGACTTTGTCGGCAAGCTTCACCCCCCTCCCAACTCCAGCACCAAAGGGATCGGAGGCCCCATTGAGGTCACCGGATGCGGACATGTCGCATGGACGTTCAAGACCACCACCAACACCTTCCGTACCTTGATTCTGCCAGCCGTTCTAGTTCCCTTGGCCAACCAATGTCTTTTGAGCACCAGCTCCCTCCTTCATTGTCACTCCAAGGAAACCATCTCCCTTTCCTCTAACGGCATGCTACTATCTGGAACCACTAGCGACGGTGCCTCTACACGACCCATTGCAGTGGACATCTCTCCCACCAACAACTTACCTACCGCTACGGCATACCGCGTCATTGATTCTCCGCAACCAACTCCGGAGGCCCACGCTGACGATGTCACCGTGGCAATCGACAACCTCCACAGTTCCCAAGGCCCAGCTCCGACATCATCTTGCACTGATCGAAACTCTTTCATGATGTCCAGCATTGCCGAAGTCAGTCGCCACAACATCAACCTTGACGACGGTGACAAGGAATGGTTGAAATGGCATCAACGTCTTGGCCACCGTTCATTCGCCATTGTACGCTTCTTGATGCGCACCGGAACCCTTTCTAAAAGTCAACGCATGCGGACGCTGCACACCCACATTTCCAAACGAGTTGAACCACCCAAGTGTGCCGCATGTTGCTACGCCAAAGCTAAACAACGTGCCGTTGCCAAGGCCAAAACTCATGCTCGCGTCAAGGATGCTCCCAGCTCTCTTCGCGCCAACACTCTTTATCCCGGTCAAGAGGTATCCGTTGATCATCTTGTTTCATCTGTTCCTGGCCGAACCTACACTGGCTACGGGAAAGGTCACAAGTCTGAGATGTTCCGCGGATCTGCTATCTTCGTCGACAATGCGACAGGATATATCTTCGTTCAACATCAGAAATCCCTGAACACCCACGAAACATTACGGGCCAAGGAAATGTATGAGGCGAATTGTCGTGACCTTGGTGTCGTTCCTCAAAAATACCGCAGTGACAACGCTGCTGTCTTCCACAGCCACGAATACAAGCAACATCTTGAAGCCTTCAGTCAAACTCAAAAGTTCGCTGGTGTCGGCCAACACCATGCCAATGGCATCGTCGAAAAGGCCATTCAGGACATTCAATCTACTGCCCGCACATTACTCATTCACCTTGCCATCCGTTGGCCCGAACAAGCCGATCTCGCTCTCTGGCCAATGGCCATTGACCATGCAGTCTTCCTCCACAACCACCTCCCCGACATCGACACTGGTCTCACACCCATGGACAAATTCTCCCGCCAACGTTGGCCCCACTCCAAATATCACGATATCCATGTGTTTGGATGCCCCACCGACGTTCTCAACAAGAAAATCGCAGATGGTAAGACTCTCCCCAAGTTCTCGCCACGCTCCGAACGCTACGTTCACCTTGGGTTCAGTCCTTTTCACGCAAGCACAGTGCCACTGGTCCTCAACCCTCGCACCGGTGCCATCACACCACAATTCAATTGCATCTTTGATGACTGGTTTGCCACATTATCCGCCAACGTCAACGATGTCCCCACCTTCATGGAGGAACAGTGGCAGCATCGCTTTGGCGACTCCCAATTTCAATTTCCCACCGATGATAATGATCCTCCTTCCTTGACACCTCAATCTCAAGTCCCCCTATCTTATGAGCCTTCCGCTCTTGATTCCTTTGAACCTTCCACCAGCCGCTACGCCGGCACCCAACCTACCCTTTCTGATCCCTCCGTTTTCCGTGAACCCTCCCAACCTTCGTTTGAGAGGGAGAGTGTGTCAGTTGAGAGGGAGCAGTCTCCTCCCGCCAATATTCCTACATCCACAAATACTGGCAATCCTACTCCATCACCCCTTCAGAGGGAGCAACAAACTCAGTCAAAGAGTCCCCATATAACGGCACGCGAAACTCCCATTGACCTACCATCATCATCAATTCCGCCAACATCATCATCCGGACCACCATTGCGACGCAGTACACGATCCACCAGAGGTAAACCGGCTCCCATTCTCGATCCCAACCCCCATTCTAAGACCTACGTCTCCAAACCTTTGCCATCCTCCAACTTGGCCGAGATCAATCCATCAAACGATCCCGACTTCAATGACACCGAAAACCTCCATTCGTTCCCAAAGGACACTCCATTTCTTGCCAACGAGGATCTGGTATTGACCACCAGCCATCCTTCATACAGACGATTCAAGACTCAACCAGAGTCAGATGATGGTGGTATTTGTGGATTCTATGACCTCCATTTCTCCTACCTTGGCTACACCACCACAAACACTCCCAAATTTGTGTTTCTTGACAGCAAGGCACCACCTGATTCGATCGAATTTCTCAAAACTGGCACCACCGACCCTGATATTTTAAGCTGGGATGAAGCTATGGCTGGTCCTGATCGAGACAAGTGGCGTGAGGCTGCCTTGAAGGAGATCAGAGCACTCGAACACAAGCGCACATGGTTGGAAGCCCCAGAATCCAATGCCACAGTCAGAGTAATTCCTGGCACTTGGGTTTTTCGAGTCAAACGCGCGCCAGATGGATCCATCATCAAATTCAAGGCCAGATGGGTATTACGAGGTGATCTTCAGGACCTGGACATGGACACCACCGCTGAAGTTGTCGCTTGGTCCTCGGTCCGCACATTTATGGTCCTTAGTCTCTAGCTTGGATGGGTCATGAAGTCGATCGATTTCACCAATGCCTTTCTCCATGCCAAACTACCAGACAATCTGGAAATGTTTGCTCACCTACCAATAGGTTTCTACTCTAATATGAGAAGTATCACTGGTGAACGAACAGTACTACACCTCAAGAAGTCTACATATGGGACAACTATTGCTCCAAGGCTATGGTACAAACATTTAATGAAGGCATTTCACGAGCTTGGATTTGAAAGCTCCTCCTACGATAAATGCTTCCTTATTCGCAAAGACATGATGATTGTCGTTTATGTCGACGACTGCGGTATCAGCACTGACAAACCAGAGAAAATCGATGAACTTGTCAACCAGCTGAAAGAAAAGGGATTTGATTTGGAGATTGAAGGCGACTTTGAAACGTTTCTTGGAGTCAAAATTCGCCAGATGAAGGATGGTAGATACCACCTCCTTCAAGAAGGGCTCATCAAGAAGGTGCTTGAAGCCGCCAAGATGACAGACTGCAGTCCCAATCACGTTCCGGCTGCACCAACCCCACTAGGAAAGGACCCTAACGGAGAACCTTGGTCCCAACATCCCTGGCGCTACAGCTCAATTGTTGGGATGCTAATCTACCTCTGCACAAATACTCGCCCAGACATCAGCTATGCAGTCTCCTGTGCGGCCCGCTTCAACAGCAATCCAAAAGTCAGCCATGCCACTGCCGTCAAGACAATCCTTTGTTACCTCAAGAAGACATCCAACAAAGGGTTGATTGTGAACTTTAATGGAACTCTTGACCTTGAAGCATACTGTGATGCAGATTTTGCAGGACTGTTCAAATCTGAGGCTCCATATGATCCAGCAGTGTCTCGGTCTCGTGGCGGATATATCATTTTCCTTGGAGGAGTTCCTCTCATTTGGAAAAGCTCGCTCTTATCGTGCACTACTCTCAGCACTCTCGAGGCTGAATATGTTCAACTTTCTTGCTCCATGACGGTTCTTCTGGGGCTCAAGAATCTAATCAAAGAACTTCTTCCACGGCTCCAACTTCCAAACTTGACCGCTTTTGTTCGCTCCATCATCTTCGAAGACAATGCTGGTACACTACTTCTTGCTATCAGTCAACGAATCACCAATCGCACCCGCTATTTGAGCCAGTTCTATCATCATTTCTGGTCCTTTGTCCATTGCCCTCAAGATGGCCCTCCTCAAAACAACCCCAATGGTCCTTGGCATGATGGAAAAATCAAAGTATCCAAGATTACCACTGATAAGCAACGAGCAGACATCTTCACTAAAGGTCTGACTCGAGTTCCCTTCAAACGCAACCAATTCTCCATCAACGGATGGTACTCATTCTCTCTTTGAGAGGGAGAGTCGGAATATATATTCCAATGCGACACGTGTGATACTCCACAACACGTGTCATATACAAACGAAAATCCCACAATCCATATTTTCGTGTGAAACCAAAAATTCACATACACAAGCCGTTGAACTTTTGGTGTATCAATCTTCATGTGATTGTTTGAACACATTGAAATAAGTGAATAGTTAACACGATGAATGGCAGTTGAACCTATGAACACGGAGTCTAGCAATCGGAGACGTCGCTAAACTCAACAAGTTCTCACTGCCATATCGTCACAATTTTAGTAAATCTGCACTTTTACATCAAACTATTGTCTCTCAAGTTTTATACTTCTATCAAACTACTTCGCTCCAAATACATAACAGCTCTGTCTACAGATATTTTCTGACTACTAGTCAACTATAGGCTTATAGTCTATATTCATTTATTTCTGTCACAATCACAAAAGGCAACAAAACAAAAATATGTCAAGAACAGCACTGCCTTATCTACAAAAGAGTGAGTGATTTGTTGACAATGGGACGTTCTTCATCCGGTGGTGGAAGAGGACGTGTGACTCCTCAGAAAGTCAAGGACAATCCAAGTTCAAAGGTTGTGAAACATCTATTTTTGAGGAAAGATGAAAAAGATGGAAAGGCAAGATCGTCGTACAAAGATGCCAAAGAAAGAGTGATTGACTACATCTAAGCTTCCGGAATGAAGTGCTCCAAAGACATGATGAAATCGATTCGCGATGGGAAGTCAATCGACTTTGATTCAATTGCACCAAAGTTGGATGCTCCAGTTCAAACTGAAGTTGTTGCAAGAGAAACAGAGATGACTCAAAACAATATTCTCTATTCTGCAAAACTGACCAGTCATATGAACAGAACAGCGTATTTTGAGACAAACAAGCAAACTGTCAAGTCAAACATCGTGCTGAACTTTGTGACAAAAGCGATGGATATCAAGCTTCAAGGTGAAGCCAATTTCACTACTACTCTTGAAGATCTAATTGAACTCTTGAACCGTATTGAATGATTCATGAAGAAGAGTGCCGATGGTGAGTATGACTTCTTGGATTTCTGGGAAGCAAATCAAAAGTTCTTTGCTATGAAGCAAGGAACAACCAAAAACTTGATGCATTTCAAGGAACGATTCTTGAGACAGGATGAAGTCCTGCAAGATCTATATGGCGTGGCCTGGTTCCAAGATTTTGCAGTCAAGACGAAAGCGTATGCTGCTATTGCTAGCACCAATACTGCTGCTCAAAACAAGTTCAAGGATGATATCTTTGAAGCCGTTCTGGCAACAGGATTTCTATGCAACAGCGATCGAACGAGAACAGCTCCTCTGATGCTGGATCTTCAGACGAACTATTGCAGAGAAGTGGATTATTATCCAAAGACGGTCAGCAAAGCACAAGATATGTTGAAAATTCACATGGAAGTGAGTAAAAATCCGGGAGTGAACCTCTACCAAGGAAAAGACCAACCTAATAAAGGTAAAGGCAAAGGCAAAGGAAAGGGGAAACCAAAGGATGGAAAGAAGGCAGCATGTTATGTATGTGGCAACGAAGACCATATGTCTCCAAAATGCCCAGACAGACTGCTACCAAAGACCCAATGGAAGAATCAGGATCAATATGTCGACTATGGGAAGAAGCTCAATCTTAATCAGATTGGAGCAACTGTCCCAGCTACTGTTCCAGCTATAGTTCCTGGAGCTTCAGCGTCTACAAGTGGAGCATCAAGTGTTGCGGGAAGCGTTAACACACCTTTGCAACTTGCTGATACTACAGGTAATCAAATGATGCAAGTTCCTTCTGGAATGCAGCTCATGCAGATTCCAACTCAAGGTGGCGGCACTGTTACTGTCCCTTATTCAATGAATGTTAGATTGCTTTCAGTGGAATGCAACTCAGCCAACAAGGCTTCAGTGGTGCTCAAGTGCGCCAAGGATTTGATGCAACTCAAGCTCGAACTCCGCAAGCTGTGAAAACTGGATATTTTGATACATCAAATGTCTTTCTCGATGCTATCAGGGGAAAGGATGAGAATGGCAATGATGTCTATCTTATTCCATGTCCTGCTCATACAACAAATGTTGAACTTCAAGCCGACTGGCACTATGCTAGTGAAGATGAAGATTTGCCTGATATTGCTACTGAAGTAGATTGAGGTCTGCAGTTTATTCAAAGCCGCAGAAAGGAAAGAGATCCATTTGGGTTGTACGATCATGTCATCATGGACAGTGGTTGTACAAACACCACCATTTGTAAAGAAGCTATTACAGATTTGTGATGGGGATTGGAACTTGGTCGAGCAACGCATTTGAGCTGCGCTTGACCGAGACATCAAGGACGAATTTATTGGGAACGATCGTGAGCTAGTGGTATATGTACCAGGATTAATTCTCGGTCTGGCGGTCCAGGATCCTTTGGTGATTTTTCCGTTGGACGAGCCGTTGGAAGACACTACGTTTTTTAGTCGGTATTGGGATTTTACTTTGGAGGTCGAGCCTCGGTTACTACTGGAACTACGTCCTCTGGCTAAAGTGTGGGCCATTGCGGTTGAACTTCTAGGCCACCCGTGGACCGACCCCGACACGACGACGGTAGTAACGAAATTGGCTGAGCGTCGCTCAGCAGCCAAGGGCCAAAAACGTGAGCGCAATCTGGACCCATCAACGGAACGAAAATCAGCTCCAATTGACCCTTGCTCTCCGGCGCGAGGGTTCTTTCCGGATGCCACTCCAAAACCAGTTCGCGACTCTGTTGCCCCTGATAAGGATGATTCAGTAATGATGGACACAACGGGTCCATCGGTAATTAGCCCCACCAATAAACCAGTCCACGGCAAGTTTGCTTATTGGTCCGACAACGATGGGTCTGAGTCCGTCGAGTCGGCATTAGACTTTTCTGCACCATCGAATTCGGACCAACCTCCTACTGAAGTGGTTGTGGGGAAGTCACCTGCCCCAGCTCAGCGGGCCAACGACCCCTCGGCAACAGTATTGATCGACTGTCACTTGTCGAAGACTGAGCCTCCCAACCCTCCTCAACCTTCAGCTCCTCTGTCCGTGAAGAAGCAACTCATTTATGTTGCCGCCTCACAGAAGAAGGCTGCTATTTGGACCAAGTACCTCTCTGAAGAAATGAAAGCCCGTGAAGTGACACAGATGAATTTGACTGGGCTTCCGCGCTCAAATGCCCAGTTCCTCTGCGCTACAATCAACTATGAATGGGATGGCAATACATATGAGGGTGGTTCTATTGAAAAGTGTTTCACTGAAGAAATGGTCTCAGTTCTGTCTATGGCTATGGACAACGCTGAGGGCGACTTGGTCATTCTTCCAGTGAGCGAACTCCGTGTATGGGACAAGAAGTTGTGGCTGACCTCTAAAGAGAAAGTGGAGGAGCTCACCTACAAGAAGCTCAAGCCCTACATTGACTGGTCCTGGAATAATGGCGCCCGATTTGGCTACAACGCTAAGAACCCCGGCTCCAAGACTCTTCGCACCCGCATTCGCGTCGCCCACAACTCTTCTCTGGACGACATGTCCCGACTACTGGGTCAATGTTTCGAGATCACCGGCACGCATGCAGGCGTCTTCCGTTCCCCGCTGCAAGTTAGTGATCCTGTCCGAATCGGTTGGCTACTGAACTACCCCATGGGGATTGGGAGAGCGGCACTTGAACGCGAGCTCATGCGTCACTTCACCTTCAAGCGAGCTATAGCCCTCGAACCTGCGTGGCCACAGAACCCCGGTACGGCGGGCCAAAAATGGATGCCCTCCAAGGGTCCAAAAGCGTGGCACATTTGGGTAGCTGCTTCTGACGTGGATAGAGTGGCACGGGCCCTCTTTGCATGGCTCAGACCAGAGACAAAGAAGTGTCACATGCCGTTTGGTGCCCGGACTCAGTTTGTCTACGACTTTGGGGCGATTACGAAGGGACACCTTGGTGACCTCGCGCAACCAGGGGGGCAGTGGAATGGCATCATTGGGAAACTCATCAACGCCCATGACACTACCTCCCAGACCTGCACCTCCCTGGCTCCACTGTTTCCTATCCAAGGCATGCTGACCAAGGTCTTCATTCCCAAGTACTGCAAACAGGGCAAGGGCAAATCCCTCCTCCAATTCCTCTATGCAATTCAGTGCATACCAGCGGTCAAGAAACCTGCCCCTGCTCAGCCTGAACAATCAGCCACACAGGATGCCGACACACCAGACTCTCCATTGCCACCTTCCGTGTCTTCTACTCCTCCCGAACTGACACTGACCAACCCAAGCGTAACTGCCCCCACCACAGCTCAGCCAACTCTACCCGCCTCATCACCGCCGGGCCAAGCAACCTCTTGAGAAACCTATGGAGCCCCTCAGGCTACTACCCCCACCCCTCTTCCATGGCCAACTCCGGCACTGAAGTCTCCACCCCAGGCAGCAACCAACCCTTCCACGGCGTCTTCCGCTCGGGCGAAAGTTTCTGCATCTGAGCAGCCCCTGGTCACTGAGGCATTTGATTGCAGCGCATGGCTGGCGGCAATGGATGCGGTACTGAACCAGGGCCCAGCCGGTCTCTTCGAAATGATTCTACCAGGCCCAATCGATGGCTTCTATGTGTTCATTGTGCGCACACCTGAAGCATCAGAGGAAGACATGCCGCACCTGGCTCTGCTTGGACCACTATAATCAAACGGTTACCAACGCTATGACCTGGGACCAACGCCAACATCGTGCAATCTCAGAGTATGAGCGGGACGTCAATTTGGACCAGCAAGTGGAGAAGGATGATAATGAGTGGATTGAGAAGCTCCTCGCGGCAGAGCAGGCTTCTCCGGAATTTGAGGGCACCATCACAATTGACCTGTCGATGCCAGCTGCAAAGGATATGGATGACGGGGCTACGGTAGGAAGCGCGGTAAATATGGCAGCACTATTGGAGAACATGAAAGCGGATGTCAATGACCTTTGCACGGAACTAGAGACTGCAGCGGAAAAACTGGCTCAAGCTAAGGATGCGGAGGCTGCCAAGGATGCTCGTATCCTTGAATTGGAGGCCAAAATGGCGGCACAAGCATCGGTCACAGGCAAGCACCGTCTGTCAAGCCCCTCCTCCAGCAAGGCAACATCATCGGCTGACAGTGGGGGTGCCCCCCCCGGCGGTGGTCCCTAACCACCAACGGTCCCGTCACGCAAGGTTGCGGCGTTTGACGGAAGGCCGAGGTCGAAATCTACGCAACCAACACACATCCAGCCAGGTGGCCCACTCCTCGCTGGATGCTTATTTAAACTCTCTCCCTCCCGGTAACTACTTTGGCGATGACTCACGCCAGAAGTCTCCTCACGTTACCCGGGTCCTTTTTCAAAATGTTCAGGGTCTTCCATTTCCTATGACACATGAGAAACAAAAAGGGCTCTTCAAGTGTTGGACGGATGAGAGAGTGGGTATTGCACTGCTGGCTGAAGTTAACCTTCAATGGTCAGCAGTGCCTGACTACGAACACCAGGAGTTTCCAACTCCCTCGGCGCATCAATGGGGCGGATGTTCTGCTACATTACTCCACAAGGTCGCGCCCCGTGCAAAGTCAGGCGGCAAAGATGAGTCAGGGCTAGGCAGGTTCTCATGGATCAAGATCCGGGGCAGGGACATCCGACAGCAGGAGTCTCAGACTGATGGGCCCCCGGCTGGTCCTTTAGATCTTGTGGTGGTCTCTGCATATCGTCCGAACAAGGAAGGTACCAATGCTGGTAGTGTTTGGAACTACCAACGGAATTACTGGCTGAGCAAGGGGGTGACTATGGATCCCCGTGACAAGCTCACTCTGGATTTGGTGGACCTGATCAAACAATGGAAAACGGAAGGGTGCAAGATTCTCCTTGGGTTAGATGCAAACGAAGATGTCTCCTACAACTCTCCCTCTTCCTTCCGCCAAGAGATGCGGTCAGCAGGCCTGAGCGAGGCCATCTTACGCCGACATCAGGGCCCTTACCCAGCGACAACCCAAAGTCGGACGACGGATACTCCCATCGATGGTATATTTGTGACCGGCCGCGTCCGTGTCACTGCAGGTGGATACTTGGACTTTCAGAAGTATTTTAAGTCGGACCACAGGGGACTCTGGATCGACATTGACCTGGAAGCGACTCTGGGGGCTCCGCCGGTGACCTCTCCTTCCTTCCAACCACGTCGGTTGACACTGGCTGATGGTTGGTCGGTGGACCGCTATATTAAGGCTGCTGAAGCGGGCTACCGGTATTTCCGCCTTCCCCAACGCTTGACCCAATTAGCGGAGGATATTTTGGTCAAGGACGGTTACCTTACGGCGAATCAGCAAGATCGATTCAACACCATTCATCGCCAGGCCTATGAGATCCGCCGACAGAATAACAACTGAAACATTAATCGATTAAATGCTAGGGAGCGCATACGATTGCCGGTGGAATGGTCGGCTGTAAAGGTCAAGTACTGTGGAGCGGCGAGTCAACAACAAGTTTGAACCATGTGAGGCGTCTGATAATCAGAAGTTGCTCTAGTCAGAACCAGATGGTTTGGACTCTACCCGCAGCATGGCGGGGTGATTTCGGGGCGTTGCTTCCACAAAACGTTGTTCAAGGGGAATGGTCCGCAGGGTGGAAGAAGCGATGAAGAATACGGCGTTGAGGCGCCAAAGCGCGGCGGTAGGCCGTGCGTTCCATCCTCACCAGCTTCAGTCACTCCTCACGGTCTACCAGTGATTTGTTCAAGACTGTCCGGCGCTTCACCAACACCTGCAGCGATTGCTCATCCTTCTCAATTGCTTTGGATTTTGTAGACTCCAATTGGGCCTAAAAGAGTTTCAATGATGTTTTTGGGCTGACAGTTGTTACTAGCTCTTGGCCCCCAACCCCCCAGCGCAAGCGCTGGTTTCCTCCATTCGGCCATCATGTTGCCGTCCAGGGTGTGGTGGGTGGACGAAAAATCCTAGTGTCCGACGTGATCAACAAGAACATTGGTCAAGCGTTGCATCAAAGGCTCAAACTGGGTGTGAAGATACCAAAAAACTTCATCAGAGCGCCACCGACCAAGTAGTTTGATGAGACTAGACGGGATATTGCCTTCCAGAAGCGCGGTAGCCCCGGTGCATCGAAGAGCACCGATGAGATCCGCCAAAAGGCTGAGCGTAACTGCCGGAAACTGTCGATGGGTAAGGTTCACTGGTCACCACAAATGCAGCAGAAATGGAATAGATTGCACCTTTACCAGCTCCTGATCTTGGGCTATAAACAGGTTCGGACTAGTTCACGGAAGGTACGGCGTTTGTTGAAGAAGACCGGTCTGACCGATGCATGGAAATTGTCAGAAGCTGACCTCCAGGCAAAGTGGTACCTTGAACATCACGACTACAAAGAGGCCAAGCGGAAGCGTGCCCATCAGTGGCGCCTGGAATATCTGGAGACCCGATTGGCAGCGGTCCAGAGCGCAAAGAAGGGCAACATCAAAGCTTGTACCAGACGGGCTCAAGTCCAGCGGATGGCACAAAAAGAAGAGACCCAACGGCGACGGAAAGCTCAAGGCAAAGGCTTCTCTGGCGGCCTCCAGCAGATCAAAGTGGCCCAGGCGGCACAGGATGGTACCCCCCATTGGGTAACATGCCAGTCTAAACGTCTTGTTGAATAAGGCTGCATGCAAGAGAACCGGCTCCGGTATGACCAGACCCGCTACCCCTACCCCACTCCACCCATGACTGAACCTTTGTACTCCAACTTCAATGGCCCCAATGCCAAAAGTAACAGCCAAGCACTGCTCCGTGGTCTCTATGAAGGCGAGACAGCGGATCCTTACCTGGTGTCATTTCTGGATCATTGCCGACGGCCGGAGGGCTTGGAAGACCAGCCACTGGAAGTGGATCTGGAGGACCATGTTAGCTTCTGGCGTAAGATGGGGGAACACAAAGGTTCGGAGCCACACGGCTTGCATAATGGCCATTTCAAAGCGGGAGTAGCATCCAACTTGCTTGCCTGCTGCGACACAATCTTTTGCTCCATCCCTTTTGCCACAGGATTTGTCCCAGCCCAGTGGTGCCACTTGCTCAACTTTGCAATTGAGAAGAAACCAGGAGAGATTTGGGTGGACCTCATGCGCACAATTCAAATGATGAATTCAGAGCTGCAGGCCAACAACA